CGTTTAATGGACACCGCATGCATGATGAGTGTAATAACGATATTTCAGCGCGTGTTTGGGGTGGATTTATCGGACAGATCTGCAAGGGTGGAAGTCAGATCCTGGAATAGCAGCGCCACAGTGCAGAAAATACACCATTACCAAGCGTTCAAAAATTCACATAACTCAAGTACTGGCTGCTAAATGTAACTAAATATCTAAAGAAACAGTGGTTGAATAAGAGTGGTGAATTCCTAAAGTGGGTTAGGTGTTTTAATCTGCAGCAGTGCATCATATTTTATCAGCTTTATTCAGCATCATGTTTTATATGTACGGTCAGGTGCTACACAGACACTACCACTCAGATACATGCAGTGACAACTGTAAAACTGCAGTAGCCAATTTCTACATTAATAACATTAAACTTTATTTAAACTAAGCACAAAAAAGTAGGATATCTGTGTTTGGTAAAGCTGTTTGGGATTGGCAGAGAAGATTTGGCAAATTTTTCATGGGCACAACCCACATACTCAGCTCTGCTGCTCATCCCACAAATGCATGTTCCTTACAAATGTGGCACCATTTAAAAGGGAAATAAACAGGCTTTCCAGAGGTATAAGATTTATTGCTAAGAAGCATTGTTACAACAAAGAATTAATCTACCAAACACAGATTTCCTTACTTTTTGTGCTTAGTTTAGATTACATTTTATGACATTTTACTCTTGTGTTTTAATTGTGTTCAGTTTTACTGTAAAGCACTTTGTAACTGTGTTTTGAAAGGGGCTATATAAACTAAGCACAGTAAGTAAGGAAATTTGTGTTTGGTAGATTATTTCTTTGTTGTTACAATGCTTCATGGCAATAAATCTTATACGGTTGGAAAGCCTGTTTATTTCCCTTTTAAATGGGGCCACATTTGTAAGGAACATGCATTTGTGGGATGAGCAGCAGAGCTGAGTATGTGGGTTGGGCCCATGAAAAATTTGCCAAATCTTCTCTGCCAATGCCAAACAGCTTTACCAAACACAAATTTCCTTACTTTTTCTGCTTAGTTTAGTAAATGATAAAATAAAGAAGGCCAGAACTAAAATCAAGATAATAAATGGATATTAAAATCAGTAAGACAACAACACAAAAAGTCAGGATACGCTCTTTCCGCTAGAGGTATGTTTTAAGGAGAGACTTAAATGAAGCCAGAGACTCAGACAGCCGTATATCCACGGGCAGGCCATGAAGAGCCTTAAAAGTAATTAATAAGATTAATCCTAAAACAAACAGGGAGCCAATGTAAAGAGGCTAAAACTGGTGTGATGTGGTTGTGCTTCTTGGTTTTAGTTTTAAGAACCTTGAGGGTGAAGTCATTGCAAGGTTTTTTGATTGAGACAGGAATAAAGGCTGTTGCAACAAGTAAGACGTGAAGAGATAAAAGCATGTATAATAGTTTCTGTATCTCAAAATATGAGAAGAATGTAGTGGTGACAGTAGGTTATTACAGAACTTAAATGCACCTGTATCCCCATCTAATGAGCCAAAATCCATTATGCAAACTCTACGGTAAATATTGATTTAATGATTTGCAGGTCTAAACCTGTTTTCACTCTTGTCCTTTAGGCTATTTAACTAGATAAGAGTCTTTTTTTTTCTCAGGGAAACCTTGCCAATGAGGTGTCAGAGTCAGAGATGTTTTATTGCCAAGTAAAACTGCACTTACAAGGAATTTGACTTGGTGATGATTTGGTGCATAGCATTTACATACAAGGCAGAAATATAGACATAATGGAAAGTATAAGATAAAGTGAAGAAAATTTACAATAGACAAAAATAGAAAAAAATTGTACATACCGTAAAACTTCAATTATTATCCCAGGCTAAAATTAGCTTAAATCACTGAATTTAACAGGCTTGTACATTGGACAGGCCTTTAATTCTTGTCACACAAAACTGTTGCTCAGCTAAGAGAGAAAATACAATCCAATACAATTGTTTATTTGAACCAGTATGAATATTACTTGTACAAAAGTTAGGCTTCAGATAATGCATCAATTATGAATAATTAAACTGATTTAGCTTTGACAGACAGCACATCAGAGAGAGACAGAGATACAGCACTTGGGGGTTACGGCACCTGGCATACCGACACAACACCACTTTATCCTGTTAAAACAGTACTCACAACTTGGATTAATTTTTATGAGAAACCCTTTTGACCCTTTGGATAAATGCCTGTCTCCCTTTTTGAGACAGGCATTTATTTGTCAATATGCATAGCCACACTGGGCTAGTAAAAGGGACTGGGCTTTTAATTGAAGTTTTTTGGTATAAGAATACATAAATATACAAAATTATTAAAATTGGCCAGGTGATATAAATGTTCACGGTGTAATACAGGTACAGGTATCATAAAAACATTGTTAGAACAAATATGATAAAGTTAAAAAAAAATACGGGCAAAAGCATTGACCAAGAGCCCTTTTTCCAAAACCTAGACAGTGTTAGTTTTATAGCTGGGCTAAATTTGATGGAAAAGTGAGAATTTATAAATCCCAAAGTTACAGATAACAATTGTGTCAACACATGGTTGAGATAAACCCTTATAGATGTTGTTTCAGCAGCCTTTCAACAACCACATTTCACTGTAAAAAGGGACTGGTGTCACACTGAAACTGTGTTAAAATGATAATTATATGTCAGCCAGTCGTCAGAATACCATGTTGGCGCTGTATGTTTCTGCAAACCACGGACATGATAAACTTCATATGAATCCTATCAACATTTCTAAAGTAACATAGTTCTGATTACATGTATATGAGCTGAGTTTTCCATCAGGAAGAGGAGAGTAGAGATGGTGGATAGAGGGACACCTTGGTAAAACAGCTGTCAAGCAGTAGACCACGGTTTGAGACCAAAACTGTGTATTTTAACAAGAAGTCAGGACATCATCGGTCATGTTTGTGGCGACAAAACCACATATTTTTTTAATGAGATGTGAGGACATTTCCAGCCATGATTGTTTTGACCAATCCAGGTATTTTTAACAAGATGGGACATTTCTAGCCATGGCTGCTGGGACAAAGCCAAATATATTTAGTGAGAGGTCAGGACAATTTCACCTGTGTTTGTGGCAAAAGGATATTTCTAATGAGACATCGGAACATTTCCAGCCATATTTGTGACAAGCCAACTGGGTATTTTATGCCAAAACATGATGTTTCCTCATCTTGTCTAAGAAGTTTTTGTGCCTGAATCTAACCACACAATACCCACAGCGTTGTCACAACATAAAACTAAAACATAAAGAAACAAAGTTTTAACATATCTGCCACACATGAAACATACAAAAAATAACACACAAACTGTACAAATTTTACATATCCCTTGTTTGCAGAAACACATAATGCAAACATCTGGCATTTTTGATTTTGACAGTCTGTTACATATGTAGCTTAGACATCTAAGTATAGTCTGTGGTGGTACTTGGCAGTATCAGATGCAACGATACATACAATATAATGTCCCATAGGTGCTCAGTTGGATTTAGATCAGGGGAATGAGAGGGCCAGTCAGTGGCATCAATGCCTTCTTCATCCAGGAACTGCCTACACACTCTGGCCACATGAGCCCGGGCATTGTCCTGCACCAGGAGAAACCCAGGGCCCACTGCACCAGTGTAAGGTCTGACAATCACTCCGAGGATTTCATCCTGGTACCTAACAGCAGTCAGGGGACCACTGGCTATGACAAAGATCTGTGTGACCCTCCAAGGAATATACTCCCCAGACCATCACTGACACACAGCATCTCCAGATTCTTTCACGCCTGTCACATGTGCTCAGTGTGAACCTGCTCTCATCTATGAAAAACAGATGAACAGGGCACCAATGGCGGAGCTGCAAATTCTAGTGTTCTCTGGCAAATGCCAATTGAGCTGCACGGTACTGGGCTGTGTACACAGGTCCCACTAGAGGATGTGAGGCCCTCATTCCACCCTCATGGAGCCTGTTTCTGACAGTTTATTCACAAACATGCACACCAGTAGCCTGCTGGAGGTCATTTTGTAGGGCTCTGGCAGTACTCCTCCTGTTCCTCCTTCTTACAAAAGAGCAGATACCGGTCCTGCTGCTCGGTGGATGCCCTTCTACGGCCCTGTCCAGCTCTCCTTGTCTAATGGCCACGCTCTTGAGACTGTGCTGGGAGACACAGCAAGTCTGTGATGTCAAAACAAGATGTGCCATCGTGGAGGAGATGGACTACCTGTGCAACCTGATTGGGCTGCAGGTACCGCCTCATGCTACAAGGGCACTAGCAGAACACAAAACTAGAGAAGAATCAGTCAGGAGGGATAAGGAGAGAGAAACTGTCTGTGGCCACCACATGTAAAACCATTCCTTTTTGGGCGTTGGCTTGTCTTTTGCCTCTCCATTGCACCTCTTGCTTTTATTTGCACCAAAGGTGAAACTGATTCACAATCACTTTTGCTTCCTAAATGGACAGATTGATATCCCCGAAGCTTCACTGACTTGGTGTTATACTGTGACGTTGTGCATTATAGTGTGCCCACCCTCCCCTTACACCCACCACCACCTACGTACAAATGCTGTATGTGACTCATGAGTTGTTCTCTTGTATGTCACCAGTTCTTGTTTCTGAACCACGTTATTATCACAAACATGCAGTGGAATCATAGTCAACAGTCAGGCAGAGGAACTCACTGACGTTGCCTCGAACAGTTGTGTCACACTGTGTGTGTGTGGAGGGGGTTACGTGATCTCACTATGTTTCCTGTTTCTCGCACCACTTCTCTGAAGACTCCAAAGAACTGTCAGCTCTGACCCACATACATGCAAACACACAGGCTTCCTTTAACGCGTTCTTTGATTCACCTTAAGAGGAAATCTACTAATGGCTTTAAGTCAGAATGCCTCTTCTTCCTGCCGGTTAATTTAGTGGTGTCATCGCTTGGTGATGACTATGTTGTGATCATCTGACTTTTTTTTTTTTTTTTTTTTTGGTCAAATGTGTGAAACCTTTCGTCTAAAGTTGGTCGTTGAACTTTGTCTTGGTCTGCTCTTCCAACATGGGCTTTGTTTTGGTAAGTTATTCAGATAAGATGCTTTGATTTGGATCATCTTAGCAGTTGTTTCAGGGATGATTTAGCTTCTGTGAGTACATTTTAGATCATCATCACTCATTGTTGCTGTAAGTGTTGTCACAGTAATGCTGTTAGCTTGAAAGTGACCAAACAAACACACATTATGTCTCAATGTGTCAGTCAAAGGGTGTTTCCATTTTAAATGCTTTTGTTTTTTAAGAGCCTGTCATTTGTACATTATTGGGTGACTGTGAATGACAGTATATAGAGTATATATGTGTAGTCTCACTGTTGTAGTTTCAGTTGTTAAGAGTAAACACTGAGTTTAACATGTCGCTTTTTATCAGTTGCTGCAAAACACCAAGGTTGTATCATCGATGAGGGGAGTGATGAAGTTATCTGTACAAGAATGAAGTGAGGAAAGTCTCTTGATTATCAGGGCTGTCTTTGTCTAACCTCATACAGTGGCTTGATTATTACAGTTATTTACAGTATTATTTAATCTAATTATTCAATTAATCATTTGGTCTGTAGAATGGCAGCTAATAGTGAAAAATGCTGTCTTCAAAAGTCCTCCTTTATTCGATCAACAGTCCAGAGCCAAAAGATATTCAGTCATGAAACACAAACAGAAAATATCCACCTTTGAGAGACTGAATCCACAAAATATTTGGTGTTTTCGCGATGATCAAAATAGCTGTTGGTTAATTTTCTGTCAAGCAGTTAGTCAAGGAATCAGCCAGTTGTTTCAGCTCTAAGATTTACATGCTTAGGTGAATCTGTGACCACAAGATAAAAGGTATTGGTAAGGTATAAATAAGGATACTTGTTTCACAATAATTTAAAGACAGTCCTTGGTAAAGCCAAACTCAGACCTTTTGTCACTTGCTGGTAGATTTAACTGTAAAAAAGTGCCCTTTTTACTGACAACTCCACTGTCTGTGAGACTCTGAAGATTTGAGGCCAATTTAAAGTTAATTTGAACTGTGAACAGCTTGGTCTCAAGGATACTATTTGGGGTAATTTTCAGTTCCCTGCCTCTGTCACTGACTCTGCACTCCAGCTGTGGGTGAGAAAAAATGTGACTCGTGTAAATGACCTCTTCAGAGAAGATAGTTTTGTTTCATTCAAGAGACAGAGCTTGGCATTCCCCTGTTTAAGTCAAGTCAAGTCAAATTTATTTGTATAGCACATTTCATATGACAAGCATAGCTCAATGTGCTTAAAACAAACACAACATACTTATAAAAATAAACACATAACAGCAAGATTACACAGTACAAGAGCATGTAAAAACCTGATAACAACAAAAACACCAAACAATGGTAATGGTATAGCTGGTTAAAACCACACGCACACATCTAGTTAAAAGCTTGTGAAAAGAGATGTGTTTTTAACCTGCGTTTAAAAGTGGAAACTGATGTAATGAACCTGAGGTGTTGTGGTAAAGAATTCCAAAGAATTGGACCATAGTGACTGAAAGCACCATGAGCTGATCTAGAGTGTATTATTGGGATAGTGAGAAGACTTCTACTTCTAGATCGCAGGAGTCTGTCTGGTGTGTACTCAGCCAGCATGTCACTGATATAAGGTGGAGCTACACCATTCATAGCTTTTAAAACAATAAGCAAAATCTTAAAATCAATTCTTTGCTTCACAGGAAGCCAGTGAAGAGAAATTAAGATGGGAGTGATGTGCTCATATTTTTTGGTCTTGGTTATTACTCTAGCTGCAGCATTCTGAACAAGTTGGAGCCTGTGAAGTGCCTGTTTTGTTATTCCTGCTAAAAGTGCATTACAATAGTCCAGCCTGCTTGAAATAAAAGCATGCACCAACTTTTCAGCGTCTGAGAGGGATATAAATGATCTAACTTTAGTTATGTTTTTAAGATGATAGAATGCAGTTTTGGATATGGAGGAAATATGCTTCTGGTCACTCCCTCATGGCCCAATTGTTGAAAAACGCTTGCTAAAGTGCCCTCCTGGGAGCCAAAACGCGTGCTAAAGTGCCCTTTTTTTTCTTTTCGCCCCTTGCCCTTCAAAAAGTCTATGCATGCCACTGCACCTCCCACAGTTCGGTGAAGGAGCACTCAAACAGAAACTAAGCAATGTACTGCTGTGAAGGGGGCAGCAACAAAACATATTTCAGCCACCTAAAAAAAGTCCCACCTAATAAAAATAAATATCACTTTAAGTGTATGCTATATTGAAAATATTTTCACTGCTTTACCGTTCCGTCTGATAGTGATATCTGACAGGGATATGATTCTGTTATATAAATCTCTTCAAAGCCAGACTCCATTCAGAAAAACAGCAATTTAACAACACTGAAGACAGGAGCTGTTGGTCTACCGCCGCCTCAGTCAGTTAGTTTGTTTGTGGTGACTGTGTGACTTTAGTGTTTAAAGTGGTTACTTTGAATTCACCAAAGTCACACGATAACACAAATAAACTAACCGAATGAAGCAGTGATAGAGAAGCAGCTCCTGTGTTCAGTGAGCTAAAATGTATGTTTTTCTCAATGGAGTCTGGTGGCTTTAACAAGAGCATAGATGGGGAAGGTTAACAACGTCCCCATTGGACATGGTTGTCTGTTTTGAGGTAAAGGGATGAAAATATCCAAAATATAGCATACACTTTAGATGGCTAAAACATGTCTTGTTGCCGTCCCTGTCCACAGCAGTGTTTCACTTAGCTTCCATGGCGGCACTCCTGTCTGCTTGATGGCGTGCCCATCATCATCTACTGTAGGTAGTACACTGACTATAGACAAGTACCTCATACAACACAACTTCAAAATGCGTGTGATCCGGGTACCCACTGCTATATTGTTTGGACAGAGGTTTTTGGTACACTTTAAAAAGTATGTGGCACAGTTATTGATCCATTAATGATATTCAGAGTGGTCTCCGGTGACTTTAAGGTAACTCCTGACGAAGCTACAGTTGCGGCCTTCACTACAGCACTTACTCAACAACTGATTCTGCAACACCATTTCATCTCAAACTCTAACAGCGATAGCATACTACTGAAGGCTCAACCAAAATGTATGATAATATCTGGTAACCTTTTCTGCTCTATTTTTAAAACTGGACAAATCACCATTATTGTGTATGATACTACAATGAACTGTTTTTTTGTATCTATTCTTTTATCCTACCATGATAGGATGTGTTTATGTGTGGGCCGGTTGTAAACCTGAAGACCTGCTTGATATCAAAAGTGCAGGAAAATGAAAAAAAATGAAAGATGCCTGTTCAATGACCTGATGAGTTGTCATGTTTTCACTCCACCTGTTCTTTGTACGGCGGCTGTAGTGTCAAAGTGTCAGTTGATAAGAGAGCATCTTCTCCTCCACGCTGATCTGACGCCTCGTCTTTTGTTTCAGGTTTTTCCACTGATGCTCGCCCTGCTCTTCACCGGACAGAGTGATGCTGAGGCGACAAAAGATCTAGGGAGCAATTCATGTTATAAAATGTGCCCACCTGGTAAGTTGTAACGAGGAGCTGTAAGCATTGGCCTTATCTTGTTCAGGTACAGTGGATTCATCACACATGAACTCTCTCTCTCCTTTTCTGTGCTGTCTCCTAGGATATTATAAAGTTGGTGACTGTGATGGTCCAGTTGCAGTGCACAGATGTGCTATGTGTGGTGATAATACATTTACAGACAGTGACAACTTTTTAACAAAATGCCTGAGGTGTCGCTCATGTGACAGTAAGTATCTTGTTTAAATACCATTATAGGATGATAGCATGTGGGATATTGTGTACGCTTTTTGAGTTAAAAAGAAATTGAAATATAAAAAATATGGTAAAGATAGCATAGGACACTGGGGGGCAGTTCGTGGTTGAAACATAATGCAGAATTGTAGGTTTAGGCTGTATATCTGAGATCAGAGTCAGTGTTTGATGAAGGCAACATATGAATTCATACACTGATACCCTTTTCCACCAACATGGAATGGGTTCCTTTCTAGTTTCCACACCAAGTATTGAACTGTCGAGAGCATTCAGACCAAAGATACATTGGTTCAAAACCCAAAAAGTTGGTTCTCAGCTGGAACCAAAAATAAACAGGTTTTTCTTGACCTGAAGTGTGAACTGTAACGACATGAGTGGGCGTGTCATATTCTACAGGTCAGAAAGTGTCTTACACGAAATAGTCTTCTACATCTTTTTATTAATATTTGGGCTGTGCTTGTTTTTTGGATAAAAATGATCTAATAACAGAACAGACCTGCCGTCTTGCTACTGTTGTTTACTTCCGTGCGTAATGCCCTCCGCTGATAACACATCCTTGATTAACAATGGTTCAGCTCAAAACTGGTGGAGACACGTACTAGAAAGCGCCGAGGCTCCCAGAGTCCTAAACGGAACCAACTCAAGAACCAGAGCTTGCTTGGTGCAGAAGGGGTATGAGTGGCATTCCCATTTAAACTCAAGGTTGAATGGGATCTTGTCTTAAAAGTCAGTCATGTCCTGGAACAGGTTAGCATATTTTGAACTAGAATTTAAATAATTAGTTGTGTGCTGACTGAAGAAACAAGAAAATTCATTAAAAAAAAATAACCTTTGTATCAAGAATTTTATTGTCCAACATGAAACCTGTGGATGCCTTGTCAGGACTGTGTCTTAAAGGAAGACTTCACCTATTATAAACGCCATTTGTAAATCAATTAGTCGTCCTGTGTTGCCTTGAATAAGTGGAGAAGACTTTTTTTTTCTCACGCCTCCATGGAAAACGGCAAACAACTGATTTATTGATTGACTGGGGGCCGTGGTTAACAACAACAAAACTACTGTATATCAAATCATCTGTTTACAGACTCTCACACAACTTGTGCAGTATAATCCACATCTCATTGATCCAGTCGTATGCTCAGTGTTTCCCAAACACATGCATTCTTGCTAAAAACTATTAGTATTGGAGCCTGGCTTTGAAGAGAGCATATATAAGTTTCACTTTCAGGTCAGTTTCAAATAGCTTTTAGTAGAAAAAATGCATGTTTGGGAAGTTCTTAAGCGGGATTTATAGTTGTGCCACAGACTCTACGTCATAGCCTACGCACATGGCCTACACCATTGTGAGCATTTATACTTGTATGGTGGTGTGTCTGTGTCACTCTGCAGTTACACCTCCAAGACACTAGTCAGTGACGGGGTTTCTGTGAAGTGCTGTAAAGTTTAGTTGATTCAAAACACACCCAAAACACACATTAAACACGGCTTAATAGAGACAACTCCAAACACAAGTACACAAATCAGCTTCACTATAACTCGCAGCATTCACAGACAAAGCACTTGTCTTTATCCGGACACATTTTCCCCACAAAGACAACATGCTAACTTTACTAGCGCCAGCCTATTGCATTTTACATTGTATACATTAGCGTAACAACAAGCGGAGATTTCCCCTGCTCATATGAAGCCAGGATAAATTCTGAAGGCTAAATTCCACACAAGACTTAAAATCCTATTTAGTGGAGGCTTTACTGTCTTCACAATTTATAGTTTCTTATCTGTGAAATTAAAGTAATTAAAAGCTTCGTTTCCACTGAGGGAAATGGTTTCAGCAAATAGACAGGATGTCTGCTTCACTGCGATGTGTAGTTACACTTCTGGGGAGGTGCATGTCCATGTCGACGCAGAGCCTATGCTGTAGGGTGTCGATTCAACACAGAAGTATAAGTTCCTCCTAAGGATGTACTGCAGGAGTTGCATTTTTTGTGAAGGCATGCAAGAAAAACGAAGTCTTAAAGAATTCAAGGTAAAGCAGCGTGACTAACTGAGTTAGAAATGGTCAATCTGTGGGTAAAGTATTCCTTTTAAGCTGAGAAACATTGTGTTCTGATTTTTCCTCAGGTCATGAGGTGAAAATAAAAAACTGCACCTTTAATAGTAATGTGGTATGTGATTGTCAAGAGGGATACTACTATGAAGGCCCTTCCCGCAGCGAAAGGTATTGCCGGTCGTGCAACTGTAAAAACTGTAAAGGTAAGTGAAATCAAAGGGTTTTAAAGCCTTAAATTGGCATTTACAGCTGTCATATTGATCCATAGTCTAGGTTAGTCATTGTAATAGAGACACTCAAAGGAAAGTCATGTTCTTTGAATTCTCACAATCTCTCTTTTTCTTCAGCGCCTGCCGGTAATGATCCTGACTACAAAAGGAAATGCCAGTCTTGCCAAAGGTAGGCAACCTGACAATATGACGGATGTTTAGATCTTTTTTTGTGACGAAGAAAAGCGCAGAACTGCAACTTAAAATGTCGGCAGAAATCAGAGAAAAAATTTAATCAATCTATTTATCCAATCCTTTTATCTTTCTACTTTTCTTGGTTGCTACAGTTACCATTTTCTGTGGAATATTTTTTGTCATAATCTTTTTTGGATAATTTCATTACATATATTCTGTGTATAGTGTCTGGTGTAGTAGTAGACTCAGTATGTTTTTCATAGTATATTTTTTCAATTTTTTGGTGAAGAGGCTCTTCTGTCATCTGATTGGCTCAGTATTGGAGCAGATGGACTTTTGATTACGCAGACTGTTACCAGAGTAATGACTTTGTTTGTGGAGATGCTGTGTATCCCCTTCTCTGTGATGATAACTTGACCAAGCCTGACAAAACCTCTACAATTAGCAGATGAATTTATTAGTCAACTAAAAGAAACTGTTTCTGATAATCAATTATTTCAGCAGTTTAATCAAGTAAAAATGGTAAATTTTTGCTGACTCCAGCCACTCAAATGTTATAATTTGCTTTATATTATTTTATATTTTGTTTTTTTTTCTGTTGGGCAGACAAAACCAAAACTATCTTGATCTTAAAATATATCTCCGTGATCAAAGCAAGCATGTCAGAGTGAAGGAAGTTTAGAAGGCAGTGGGCATCTACTTATGATGAAAGGCTCATGCTTGTGACAACACAAGATATAAACTGAGCTGTAACGTTAGCTAACACAGTGGTGCTAGGTGAGCTAGCAGTACATGCACACTTACACTACAGCACCACAAGCCAAGTGCCATCTAGTTCCATTATGTTGCAGAGAAGGCAGACATCTCCACGGCCGATACCTCCAACACCCAGCAACTCACACCAAAACAATCTAGACTGATAGATAGCACTACTGGAAAGAGGAAAAATATGTAGTTTTGATGTAGGAGTGAACTGTCCTTTTAAAGTCCAGTGTGAAAACAACAAGTAAAAGCAGTTTTGATGTTCATATGGGCACCTGGCTACTGTTTTAAGACTTAAAAAACAACAACTATCGTTTAATTTTTGGAAAAATGTGTTGTCAGAGTCCACTGTTGTTCATATTATGCTCTCCCTTTTTTCAGGAAGGAGTGTTTGGAGGTCCCAGAATGCAAGAGGAAATGTGCAGTGATTGCATTTACATATTCTACAAATTTATCTATGATTTCAACCACATCTACATTTGCATCTGCATCTGCATCTACATCTAAAGCTACATCTACAAGAACCACGTCTTCAAACAACACATCGGATCCTATTATATATCGAATTCCACCTAACTGTAAGTGCTAAATCTGTGTTGTACTTCAACAAGTAAAATGACAGAATCACTCATTGGTATATGGTTTTATAGATTTATGACACATATGGCATATGCATCATAAATCTGATCCTTCCCCTTTTGAGTGCCCTCGGAATGCCTGCTCCTGGGCTCCAAGGTACACAATGATGTCCACGAGTCTTTTCAACACATCCCTGTTCTTTCTCACCCGCTTGTTGAGTTGCTCCGTTGCTACTCGCAGGCACTCGTTCAACTGATGGTCGCTCCGTGTGTTGCCAAATGTCTGCAGTTTTACCAGACAAAGTATGTGCGAAGATGCATGCTCATGTTTGGTCATAGCAGTGTGGAGGTTGTTTAAATCGCCATAACCTGTCATGGTCCAGACTGTCTGTTTGGTGGAAAAAGGGAGACACGTCCAACAGAACAGTTTGCTCACCTTTGGGCAGCCAGCTAGCCATGTGTGTTTCTCGTACGTGCTAGATTGAAAATGAGGAACAAAACTCTTAGTAGTTTTTGTGATGCAAGGTCTGGAGTTGGACGTCCTTTTGATATAATGTTCCTTTTTTCCTCAAATGTCCTCCGAGAAAACGGCACCGAACGCAACGATTCAATTGAATTTATATTTTCACCCATGACAGTGATGGCGATGAGATACACTACTAGCTAGCTAACCGAAAGTGTCAAGCGGCGTACCGCTAAAAATTAAAGCAAGCTAGCTAGTATTGATGCGCATGCGTGTTTATAGATAAGCTGGTTCACAGCCAGCTTTTTTGCCATTCAAAATTCTCACATTCAGTTAGCAGGCCTGCAGTGTGCGCCGCTTACTGTAACTACTCGGAATTACAGAGCGCATGTGCGAGGCAAGCTGACTGCCTGGCAGCATTGCCATTAGCGGAGTGGGATAGATATTGTCATATGTGTAACGTAGGGTTGTTAACAACAACAATAACAACAATAACATTGGTTTGACACCAAAACAATAGAACACAATGAAAAACTAACATTTAAATGATTTTTATTAGAGGGCTTGGGCATGTGCCGCATTTATAGTTTATTATGACCACTCGCCCATGGCATATGCTCAAACTCACATTATGGATATTTTAGCAAGGTTAAAAGCGCTGTATGTAAGAATGTGGCCAAAACGCCCCCCCTCCCCTACAGATTTGAGGTTGCTGGACAGTGGCACGCTGGAGACTGATTTGTTTGCCCACAGGCGGCTGCCATGGCAGGGCCGCGTTGCCGCGTCCTTGATCTTCGGTTTTCCAGCGGACCACTCAAGCAAGTCCGGCTTCTCTGCTGCTAACGCTGCTGCCGGGATACAGCTGAGGAGGAGCCGGCTGCTAATGCTATGTACCGGGACACTGCTAACGCTGCTGCCAGGATACAGCTGAGGAGGAGCCGGCTGCTAATGCTATGTACCGGGACACTGCTAACGCTGCTTGCCATGCTGCTGTAGCTCAGTTGTAACTGTAACTGATGCTGAGACTCTACTGACTGTGTGACTGGTAGACGGCGGTGGGTGGCGCAACAGGCCAAAACACAAATTCAAAACATAAACATGATTTGCGGACGGTAAAAATATTTTTTAAATGCGAATATTCTGGCCATACTATTGTTGTTGGTGAGATCAGTATGTTATATTAATGTTATTCATAGTCATAGTCATATTTATTAACTCTTCACCACAATTGTGGTATGGAGTACAAACAAGACAAAATACAAAATAAATGATGAACAGTCAGAATGAGTCATCACAGATCAAAGTAAACAAAAAAGAAAACCAAGCCTGCACTCAAGCACGGCCATACATTATTTCATTTAAAAAGTGGCAAAACATTATTCAAGAAAGCACCCAGTTTACATATTGTTCTTAAATTATCAGTCTTCATTAAAGCTATACATTTGAACATAGATGGGCGGTTTAAAAAATATTTAGGCAAGTACTTGTTTCTGTTCTCAGAGATGGTTAATATTTTACATTCAAACAAAACATGACATTCATCTCCCAGGTGGCCATCATTACACAGATTACACAACCTTTCATTCCTTTCCAGACCCTTGTATCTACCTGTTATTTTAGGGAGTCTATTATTAGAAGTTCGAAAATTACCGATGGCCTGACTGTACTTCTTGTTTTCACAAAGTAAATGTTTTTCAAAATTAAAATCCTCTTTAAATTCATAATATAAATCACTTGAGGGCATGCTCTGTAGTTCATAACGCCACTTCTGTACAAATCACCCTGCTAATCTTTGTTTCCTTTCCCATCACTAAACTCCCCCAATAACCAATAATTCTTTTTTTTGATATCAACACATAAAGGGTATCTTCCAAGTTCGCCATAAACTAGGGTTGTCACCTTGGATTTGTGAAAAAAAGGGACACTCGACCAAATGTTTGAGGCGGAGGGCTCGGCCATTATTACCAGTTCAGACTGACCAATGAACATGAAATTCGGACATAGGAGACCAGATTTGCCATCATTTCATGTCCTTCTATGTGCCTGTATTTTATATTAATTTTTATATCAATGAAAAAAACGAATCCGTGTTACTAAATTCTTACATTTTTACATGTATCTCACCATAGCAAGTTGGAAGTTGGCATATTCTGCCATATATGAAGAGAGAGACTCTCTGGAATCTGGCAATATAAGAACCATGATGGTGGGACATTCTGTCACTTCACAGCTGTCCAAAACATGTGGTTTGTGCCAGGCGGACATGATTGACAGTATTTTTTCATTATTGCAAGAAATTCCATTGATTCATTCACAAGAAAAAATGTGTTTTATCTGAAAGAAACATGCAATATTTACATCTAAGATCATAGAAAAATAGTCACCCAAGTGCAATGATGTCCTCCAAGATAATATTTGCCACTTTGATTGCAGTAAAAAAAAAAAAAAA